AATAAATGCTTCACTTTTATACATTTTGATTAATATGAAAGAGAACACATTCTGGAACCTACTTTATGACATCAGAGGCACCACGCTATCATGTTAAGCCTCATGTCAATATGCACACTGCCTCCTTCGAGGGCTTTAACGATCACGATACTAATTTAGTTAAATAATATATTACACCAAAAAGGGTAAGATTATAGTTACAATGTAAATAAGCAAAACTTACTTTATTAATTGCATCAAGGTAATTGTATTTATAAGCAATAAAGCATTTACAACTGAGCAAAATATCTTACCTCTACTATATGTCCTATCCTTCACATCTAACCTCAACGACCCTTCTATCCTATCGTTCGCATTCGTCACATTCGTTGCATGACATATGTGAGAGAACGAAGGTATTCCTAAAATTGGCGGATTTAAATGACTAGGTTCATTATTAAATTACTATCCCGGAGCTAGTCTATACATGTTGGCAAAATCCCAAACTATTATAATTTGGGTTTGGCGCGCTCAAATCCCAAACTCTGGCCAAACTCGTATCTTAAAAACTTTATTAATAATTACTTAAACAAATTAGATATATATTTTATAGCTATATAATATATTTACAAAATTTTTAAGATTACTTTTTGATTCAACTTTTTATAAATAGCAATTGTATTTTTGGGGTTTGGGATTTGTCTGAGTTTTGCCAATAAGTATAGGCTAGTCACGTTCTTCTGTCTTTACGCTGTAATACTCTCCAATTGCGAATGAATCTTGATAGTTTTCTGATCATGGCTCGAGAGCGGCTAGTGGATCATGATCACGAATAATTCATTTATTAATTAACAACGAAGGACTACATAGCCGACAAGAAATCAAAAAATCAAGGATTTTCACTTTTCTAAAGACTGTTAGGCACTTATCGAATTTCGAAGGAAACTTTGTCGAAAATTTTATTACAATATTTATGATTCCAAGTTTTATTTTGATGTGAAAAACTTTTATAATTATTGCAACAGCTTATGCTGGGATTTGGGTCTCTTATTTAAATCTACAATATTTACTAAAATTCACATATACTCCTTTCTAAATCCTAACCTAATCCTAAAAAATTTTTAAATATAGGTTAAAATCCTGATATAAGCAAATCCCAGCATAAGCTGCCACAATTATTTTTCACTTATTGTATACATTTCCAACATAGTATAACCATTAGACCTAATATTTATTTAACAATCATGCTTAGACCCTAAATCACTCTCAGGTTTTAATTTGAAATTTAATAATTTATAGAATTAAATAAATTAGGCCGGTTTTTTTGGTTTCATACTATCGACCGAAATGGGAGATCTTGGTTATTTTCCCAAATAATGTAGAAATCCGATTCACAAACCCAAACTACGCAATAATGTCCAAAAAAGATTTAGGTCACAACCCTATCCTCTCCACTTTGTAAATCGTTCAATAAATGGTTCGATATGCTTTTGATCACTATATGTTGATATGGAAATCAAATGCTGATATGTTGCTAAAAGCTATAAAATTTAAAGAATATGGATGTTAAATATATAATAACGCAAGATTCGACAACCTCATTTATCATCAAACCAAATATTTAATGTCGGGATGATACTGAGAATGGATGATGCTGAGAATTTGGGTCTCAATTTAAGGATATAAAGTCCATATATACTCTTTTATTATAAACTCTAACCCTAAATTCTAACCTAACTATAAAAAAAAAGTAGCCTCAAAAATTTATAAAATTTTATATTAAAGTAATTTAAACTCTCAGCATCATCCATTCTCAGCATCATCTCCGACATTTAATAACAAACCTGATTCTTTAATTGTTCCTGATATTTCACTTCGCTGAATCCAGTTCCTGCCAAATTATCGATATTTTCCAAACTTGTAATCACTGCTTGTAGGATTTTAATAAACGTAGTTACGTCCCCATATTTATCTCGTGTAGTCGGTGTGGCAAGTGCGAGAGACGCATTAATTCTAACTTTAAAATTCTTGGACGTTTGTACAGCTCTGATTAGCGCATCATATAGTTGCACGGACCAAGTGTTTGTTTTTTGCCCAATTGGAAAATTTGGATTCCGTAACATGTTCGAGGCTGCGTAACATGCATTCCAACGAACCTAATATGTATATATATACAAAAAGATGATAAGTGAAAGAAATGTAACTAATCGTAACATAGGAAATGCAATAACACATACTTTCAATGAACCGGATTCAAAATTTTTAATCAAAGCCATTACAACATCTTTGATTAATCCACTTTCTTCTCTTATTATGAAGTTTGTCGGAAGGACATGTATAATACTGCCTAATGCTCTCACTCCATTTGGACGGACCTATAATGAATTAAACAGTCATTAAGAATATTCAAATTGAAAATATTAAAATAATAAGTTTACCTTATCATTATCATTTGACGCAGATAATCCAGCTTTAACAATTTTTGCCCATAAAACATTAATCAAAAATTCATTCAAATTGGCATTTCGAGGATTGACATTTGAAGGATTGCTGTAGTATAACAAATTACGGTCATGTTAAAAGTCTGCAAATACTTATTAAAATTGTTATGTAGTAAAATAGTAAGATAGTGCATGCCTCAAAATAACCATAGTATCACATAAATTTCCTAAAGCCCAACTACTTCTAACTCTGACCAATAAATTTTGGTCAGACATCTGTTGAATCACTGTTAACGCCATGTCTGACGCGAATTTAGTATCCTATTCGTAAATATTGTGAAATTTTTTTGATAAATGAAAATTAACATATACTGAGATGGCATATTGAATGTAATAAAATTTACCTGTTGTAAGCTAGGGAACAAAATATAGACTCCAAGACCACGACACGCTGCTGCTCTAACATTTTGGCTTTCATCTTTTGAAAAATTAAGTAATATCTTGATACAGAAACTTCTATTCGCCGTCTATGGCCATAAAAAAAAAAAATCAGAATATGGTAATCTTTTACCAAAATAAATAAATAAATAAAAACCAAAAATAAGGTAAAACTTACTGGTAATGATGAGAATATACTAGCTGGAATATATGATAAAAAGTCACACGCATGGGCTCTTACTGCATGGCATTTATCACTTGTTGCCAACTGAACATATTGAACAAGAGCTGTAATCCACCATTCAAATGCTTTAGTCAAATCTAAATTTTGATATTGCTGAGTCTATTTAATAAAAGAATAATTATTTAATAATTTACTTATATATGCACATATATGAACATATACTTAAATATGATTTTAATCACAAAATTACCTCGGTATTACCATCTTCTGCATCATTTTGGCGACTTCCGCAAGCAGCAGCCAGCTCTCTAGCATATTCGACTAAAAACATCATTGAAGCCGTACGTCCGTACATTGTAATAGGTCATAACATAGAGCATGTGACTTATATTTAAGCGATTATCCAGAAGCATAAATACAGGATTTCCACAAATTTCATCCTCGGGACGAAATGACCTTAACTACGGACAACATTCCCACGGTACCTGCTAACAATCCAATCGCTAATTCATTTAGCTCGTTTGATGACATCTCTAGAAAAGTTCTGAGAGCCAATTATCCTGCTACAAATCGAAAATCGTTAACCCCTAACGGTGGAGGTTCCTCTAGCAGCAGCAGCGATTCTGACAATCCTAACATCGACCAAATTTTGCAAGTTTTAATTTCAACAAATTTAAATCCGAGCAATACTTTTGAACATGATTTATTGGAATTGTTAGTTTCTGGATGCAATACTATTAATACAGCTGACGAGCATGTGGCTTCAAAGTTTAGTAGAATTATTTTTACTTTTTGTAGTAGACATATGGTATGTTAAAAATTCTCATTAATTATATATATATATATATATATATATATATTACTTTTGCAATTTATCATTC